ACAGCCTTTAGTAGCAAGTTAGCTACTATTAAAATCCTTTCCAGAACTGGTTTGTCACATTTCTAATTTTGCACCAGGTCTTAATGCTGTCTTCAGAAAAAGAATTTTCTTAACCCAAATATGCAACCACCAGAAATGATTTCAGTAAATATACTAATAGTAATATGCCCAGATATTCATGCAGACCTGTGGTTTTGGAACAAGCACACTGTAACATTTGTGCTTTTGCATTTGTGCTGTTGTCAGAACAGGATTTTTCTACATTTAATTACCATTTGAAGGGAGATGTGTATTTGGAATGTAAGCAGATAATGAAGTTTAAATAATTGTTTTCTCAATGGGTCATAATAACCAATAAATAGTCTAAATAAGTAATTTGAATATTGTCTCCACTGACTTTAGCGTGTGAAGTTGATTAAACAGATTCCAATGGAACACATTTGCCTTGAAACTGATTCACCTGCTCTGGGACTACATAAAGAGGTGAGTCCTCTTGAGTTTAAACCAGCAAGCAAAACAGGCTACTTTATTATGACTGTAGCAAAACAAACTTTAAAAGATCTACATTCTTTAAAACATGATTGCAGTGATGTGACTTTTCATGAGCACAACAGATTAATTTGGCTTTTGAGCATTTAATATGCAACATAAAAACTAAACTTTCTGTTAAACTGCTGTAGCTGACAGAATCAACATGCTGTTGGCCTTTACAGAGACCAACAAAATGTTAATGTGTGTCTGTCCATGTTTTATATGTAAATGTCTTCACCCGTTGAGAATTTGACCCATTTTTTTCTAGTTTACTAAACCATTTCCATGATACATTAAGCATTTAGCAGCTATGTTTAGTGGGTTTTTTTATTGATGTCTGTCAGAAAATATCTCTATTCAAGCCCACAAATGAGAAGGCAGTTAGGAAGTTAAGGCTAAAAATAAGAAAATGTATGCAGAAATATTTTTGCAAAATTGCTGAAACATAACCCAAGAAACTATGAATATAACTGTAAATTTGATGTATGAAGGACTAATCTAAAATCTTATTCATATTTATATTGAATAGATGGTATTTCAGTATTCGATGAAATGGAAAATGTGGTAGCACAGCTTTTTTTTTAACCCTATTGCAATGAGGCCTTCAGCATATTTACAACTTGACTGGATGCAATTTTCCTAGCACTTTCTTTTCTCTCTTTGAAATGCCTGCCTACTTCATCATTGTACAGTACCTTTTGTTTTACAACCCAGTGATTTCTGTGTGTCCCCATGGAATATCTGTGATGTTAATAGTATATTTGAACATTTCTTAGTGGGAATATATTCAACTTTTTTTTTTACAGGCAAGAAATGAGCCAAAGAATATTCAGATTTCCTGTCAGTTTATTGCTAAAGTTAAAGGAATCCTGCCAGAGAAGGTTATGGAGGTCACTACACACAATGCATTCAGACTGTTCCCTAGGATCCAGAAGACATTGCAACAAAGAATAACATCAACCTGAGAATCCTGATCTGAATTCTCTCAGCTGTTTATACCAATGGACTTATACTCCTGCAGATGCATACCACTACGTTCATGTGATTATTTTGCCTATATAACAGTCATGTATCAGGTTTATCAGATGTATCAGGTTTTCTCCACCACTTTGCATAAATGAAACCAAAAATAATCAACAGATTGGAAAAACAGGTGCATTTTTTTTTCTTAAAGACAAAACTACCTTCAAGTGATTATATGTAAATGAAGCAGACTTTATTGTGTACTGCAACATTCATCAGGTAACCTATATATATATATCAATAATATGGTGGTTCTTTTTAAGAATGGGCTGGGGGACATATTTGACTTTGAGCTTCGGATTAAAGACAATTATTAATCGTATAGAAAGGAGTTTTTTGTCAAATGCAAACAGAATTAGACCTGCTGTTCACATTAAGTGCATATCTTTAGATATAGCCAGCAGCTATACCTGCAACCAACCTACAACTGGCAGCCCACTGAAGCTAAGCAGGTGTGAGCCTGGTCAGTACCTGGATGGGAGACCTCCTGGGAAAGATAAGGTTGCTGCTGGAAGAGGTGTTATTGGAACTAATAGGGAGTTTTCACCCTGTGGCCTGTGTGGGTCTTTATGCCCCAGAATAATCACGGAGACAATATTCTGTAAAAAAGGCGCCATTCTCCAGATGGGACAACCCAATAAAACTGAGGCCGCAACTCTCTGGTGCCATCAAAATAAACCTGGCCAAATTTACCATCGGCCTTTACCAATCGTGGCCTCCTAATAATCACCATCTGTGAATTGGCTTCAGCACTCTGTTCTCCTCCCCACTGATCGCTGATGTGTGGTGAGTGTACTGGTGTACTAAGGCTGCCGTCGCATCATCCAGGTGGGGCTGCACATTGGTGGTGGTGGAGGGGAGTCCCCATTACTTGTAAAGCACTTTGGAGTGTCCAGAAAAGTGCAATATAAGTGTTATTACTATAGACTATAATGATTACTATTAGATGTACTTTTTTTAGCCTGCAATAATTGGAGACATGATGGAAGACACATGTTTTGCTTGTTTTATTATTATGTCAAATGGCTTATTCTGACATTTTTACAGCTAGTATACTAATTACATTTTTGATCTGCTATTCCAGTAATACAAATTGCTGTATTTTTTTCCATATGTTTTGGAACATTTTGCTCTTGTCCAATACACAATTTAGAAAGTTAAGGATACATAATTTTAAACATTTTCTGTTTCTCCAGCACATCTTGGAAGCTGTAGCTTTACTTGGGAGGGTCACACCAGATGTACCTTATCTGTAAAGATAAAAAAAAAAATCAAAATTTAAAAGAAAAGTTCTAACTCCATAGGACCATTTGTGTATCAAATATATTGTAAAAAAAAAGTATTTTTATATTTTGAAGGGGCTACACCAATCTGAGGTGTTTCAAAAATATACTGTATCTGTACTTCTTAGAAGAAAACATAAATCAATTACTGCAAAGTACTTGCGTTTGCTTCTATTTTGGGACTTAGGTAATGGTAGAGAACTTAACTTACGTCAGAGGGAATTACGGCTACATTATTTTTTCTTTTTTAATGTTTTTTTCAATCACGGTTAGTGCTTATAGCTTTTCTTGTACAGTAAGTTCTGCATTCACAAACTTTCAATTCAGTGTTTGGTACTCGTTGTGTAGGATTAAGTTGAGAAGAAAAGTCGTGCAAGATTTACATCATTGATATGTTTTTTTAAGTTTGATTAAGTATTACATGTATGTGTGTTAACAATCTTTAAGTTATAACTGTTATTTTTTTACCGCTTACGCTGTAAACCCTTCAGTTGTACAGAAGAGGGGAAAACTAACATCTGACTTGTCAAGCTCATTAGCTCCTTATTTCATTTCTCTTTATTTTTTATTTTCTAAATGATCTAATATAGTTAATTTATTGAATGACTTACGTTTTTTGCGTTTTATTTAATTAATACTGAGTCTACATGTTTGTGCTGGGAGTTTTTCACCTTTTAATTTTTGCTGATGTTTTACTGACTTGCAAGAGGTCATATCTAGAAACAAAGACAAAAAAAAAAAACAGACATGTCGTTGTGTGAACTGACCAAAAAGTAGTGTAATGTTATGCTGCACGTCGCTCGTAAATCTCTGATTCTTACAGCTCTCGGGGAAGTGTCTTCTCTCCGGGATCGTCGCTGCGTGAGACATCCACGCAGACCGGTCACTGGGGCTGTGCGTGGTGTGCGCATTGAGATCGGAAGTGCACTGTAAATGACAGGCGAAATGTTTCCTCTGCGCTCGCCTCCAGAACCCCTTGCTATCTGCTTCCACCCGACACCACGTCTCTCTCTGCATGTTTAATTCGTACAGAGCCTGCCCCGGATCTTGGGACATCTTGTTTTCGTGTTTGCTTCGCCTGTGTTTTGCCGGAATTGCCGATCACTGTAGCTTAATGAAGAAGTAGCCAGAAGAGCACCGCGATGTTGCCATGGAAGTTGAAACCCGAGTCTACAGTATGCGCGTCTATAGCAACCAGAGCAAGACTGATTACACTTTAACAGAAAGACTTTCAGCCGGTGAAAAGAGTTAACATTATTTGTGAGGTGATGGTAAACATTACCTTCCCGAAATACATTAAGAAATGGATGAACTAATTTGTGGTTGTTAATGTAGTCGATGTAGTAATTTAAAATTATCACTTTAATTATCACTTTATTTGGAAGTGTGATTTTTTTTTCTAGAAGATATAAAGATGTGGTTATCAACCAGTTAGGATGCAGGTTTTTACCAGTGTAACATGTGCAAGTACCTATAAAACTATAGAATACTCAAGAAACGCAAAAATAAATAACCCAGCTACAAAAGGGTTAAACAAAAGCATCAGATCATTTGCTTACATTTTAAATACGTGAAGACTGGACATTACAGTAAAAGCCACAGGTTCTTAAGGGAATCCGATCATATTCGTGATATATTAACCACGATTTTATTCAGAAAGTTCCAGAACGTAGTCGTTTTGTCCCAAAGCGCTGCTTAGAATTACATGGTCTATAACATAGACATAATTAAAGAGCTTTTGAACTATTGCAACGTTGTCACAGCATACGTCAACTTCGTCACTGTACAAATTAACAGTACGATGACAGACGTGTTTATTTATTGGCTTTAACCGGTTCAGTGTTTTTAGTTCCTGAAATACCGCCTCTGCTCGTGAGTCATAATTGTGCTACAAGATTTGCATTTGTTTAATTTACAAATAGCTTTCAGGTACCAAAGGTTTCGCTATTACTATTCAAAGTATTTACAGTATGTAAAAAGGACGTTAAGATGGGTCCTGACAAATAGATTTCCTGCTTCCTGTAAATAACGATACCCCTACAATTTATTGCAGTGAAGTTGGACATAATAGCTGTCTAGCTGAGTGCCTCTTAAACATTCAGTTTGCTACAGTAGGTACTACGATACTGGGCTAAACTAGGATTAGTGTCGGATAAGAAGAAAAGCATACGGACATTTGTTAGGGCTTCATTAAAGTTAATGCCTGCAGGAGCTTCCATTTTCTGGTTCTTATGTATCTTTTCATACATAAGATGGAACTGTCAACAATATTGTCAGTTGCCTAAAACACATAATTATTTAGGAGTAGCTTTAAACGAGACATTTCCGTATGCTGTGTTATTCAATTGAAAATAGTATTTCATGGGTATCTAATGCTACATAGATCTATAGACAAAACTGGTATTAAGCGAATTAAAAACGCACTTTTTCAATTTTTGCGAAATGAAACTATTAAATGATACAAGTTCTATCATTCTTGGTTTAAATCATTAAATATGAACGTCCGCTTTTCGGATAACTGATTTGAAAGGTGTTGCAATGTATCCATATCCATGCCAGGATCGCCCCTGCTGTATTGGAAGTAATTCGCACATTTCACTTCGAATGCAGTATCTTTATCGCCTCTTTTCCCTCTGCTGTCAGTAGAAGCTCCGCACTCCTCTTTATTTCCATTGGTGGCTTTGCGCATCGGAAGGCCTCGTCTCGCGCAACATTTGGTCGATTGCTGTGCCAATCAGTTTGCAGGCGCTCGTGGACAATAGAGGTAGCAGTTTGGCATCGTGTACAAACCCTCATCGCTTCACTAGCCTGCAATCCTGTTAGTATGTTCGATCACTTTTGAGTGCAGTTTTATTTTTTATTTATTTTTTTACAGATAAGGTTCTTTCGCTACAGCTGTGCGATATACATCTTACGATGGTCTCGTTTCTAAACAGCCTGAATGTACACTTTTTTATAGTAGGATCCTTAAACTCGATTGTCAGTAGTTATTTTTAGATCTAATTAAGAATAAAGTTTTTTTCCACATTTGTATTCGTCTTCGTCAAGGGATGTTCCGTTTACGCGTTTCGTCCTCTTTTCTTTATTTGAATCTGGAAAACGCTTAATAGCAGCAATTCCGATTTTCTGTTTTAGCTCTTTGCGTATCAGGCAGAGAAAAAGTGTGCGCGTTTCTTTTGCATCGTCATGGTGGCAGGCGAGATAATACAGGAGCATCAGCGGCATGGCAGCGCACCTGACGAAAATGACACGGCTACATGCGAGACGCCGAGGGAGAAGACGACATTGGTGTTGAATGAGGACCCGTGTAAGAATACAAATGGGACATTTAAGGTCATCGTAGTGGATGCTAGCGCGTCCGAACAAGAGATACTTCCGGATGAGAAGGAGGCTATGCTTCCCGAACAGGAGAAACCTCTGCAAACCAAACTTTACTGCCGGAGGTTTGCTGTTTTAGCGGTGTTCAGTCTCTATTCCCTGGTCAACGCCTTTCAGTGGATCCAGTACAGCATCATCACCAATATCTTCACCTTCTACTACGACGTCTCGAGCGACAAGATTGACTGGCTGTCAGTGGTCTACATGGTCGCCTATGTGCCTTTAATATTCCCGGCAACGTGGCTGCTGGATAAAAAAGGACTGAAAATCACCGCTCTTTTGGGATCAGGCTTGAACTGCATTGGGGCGTGGGTGAAATGCGCAAGTGTGGGTCCCGACCTGTTCGTGGTGACCATGTGTGCGCAGATTATCTGTTCCATAGCCCAGGTGTTCATCCTCGGACTGCCTTCCAGAATTGCGTCGGTGTGGTTTGGCCCTAAGGAAGTATCAACAGCCTGTGCCACCGCTGTTTTAGGCAACCAGGTTGGTTCAGTATTGCATCATATCTAACTTTTTCTTCAGTCTAGTTCAGGTTAGTAGCTGCGTCAGCATGCGTAGGCTGCAACGGAACAATAGGTTTATTCCATGCTGAAAGGAGAAGAAAGAAAACGATGCACACCCTAAGAAGGCTCCACAGCCGAAACGTTTCTTCTCTTTTCAGCATGGAATGCATCTATTGTTTCTTCAGCATAGTGTTTCTACCGCACACCTGTGGGGGTTTCTGTGAAGTTTGGACATCCCTCGATAAACGCATATTAAAAGGTTTGAAATACATTCTTGCAAAACATAGTATTATTCCATCACAGTAGCCGGACATAATAGCTGACCTTCGCTGTATTTTTTTTTTATTCCTGAAGCTATACATTGTTTAAAAAATAATTTAAATCTAAATATGCAATAATTTACACTATTGACTGAAGGTCTAGAATATTCCTTTTTAATATTCTAATATGAGGCATGCTTTTTAATTTGATGTGCTGCCCTTTTTATAATAATGAACTTTATTTTATATAGTGCCTTTAAAGGTGGCTTCTCAAAGCACTTTACAGAATGACAACAACAATAAATGAAAAGAATACACAAGATAAAACACAATTACAATATACAGGGGAGACAGTGGATGGTGGTACTAAGAAAAGCAGAGGGGTGAAGAATGGAACCAGTTAAGTAAAGGCTTTTCTAAAGAAGAAGGTTTTGAGTCTGGATTTGAAGGAGTTTAGAGAAGGTGACTCTCTTATATCCTTGGGCAGAGAGTTCCAGAGCTTGGGGGCATAACAGGAGAAGGCCCTCTCACCCATACAGTGTAGACGGGCTTTGGGGACAGTAAGGAGACCAGAATTAGAAGAGCAAAGTTTGCGAGGCGGGGAGTAGGGCGATAATAGTTCAGACAGGTACTGAGGTGCCAAGCCATGCAGAGCCTTGTAGGTGAGCTTGAGGATTTTAAAGTCCACATGGAATTTGACAGGAAGCCAGTGCAAGGACTCCAGGATAGGAGTAATGTGATCATTTGCACTAGACCTGGTCAGAATCCGGATTCTGGCTGCTGAAGTGTGGACATACTGCAGTTTGTTCAAAGAAGATTTGGATACCCCAGCGAGTACAGCATTACAGTAGTCAATTTGAAAGAACACAAATGTGTTAATCTACTTACTAGCCACAGTTAGCATAGGGCGTAGTCTAGTGATATTTCTGAGGTGAAAAAAAAGATGTTTCGACAATATGCTGCACGTGTGGGTCGAATGTTAAGCCAGAATCGGATATAACCCCAGGTTTTTAGTTATACTGAAACATTTATTCATTACAACTTGGCTTTTTCCACAGTTTTTTACAGCGCAATACCAAGAATCAGTAGAGAACAGTGCTTTTGGTCCTGCGGCTCACTCATTTAATGTGGTAGCCTGTGAAAGCTCTAGGGATTGTCCTGACTTCTACATCTATCCTGGAGTGAAGCATGTGGATGCTGGAGGCATCACATGGATCAATACAACAACAATTTGAGCAAGTGGAGCAGGGTGGGATCTTAAAACACCACCCCAAAGCAAAATGAATACTTAAATACAAGTTTTTCTAATAAAATAATCCTGATTAAAGGCGTAACAGCCATGTTCCAACCAGGATGCAAAGCTACAACCTCCTAGTTACAAGTCCACACCAGAGCTTTAACCATTGCAACACAACGTCATTTCATACTTAACAGCATTTTCTTCCCCAATTATTATTAAGCTTCAGTTGATGTGTCTAAAAAGACCATCCTTAATTGATTTAGTGGACAGCCTAGATTAATGGGTAAGCTTCTGGACTCACGGCTGACATGCAGACACTGCTGTTTTGTCTCTGGGTGAGATTCTATACCGCAGATGCTCCTGTCTACCCAGATAGTAGATGGGCACCGGCGTTGCTGGGTCTCTGGTCCAGGGGGAGGGTGTCTCATCTTTACAGCCTGCTTAAAGCAACAGTAACCAGGATAAACTCCGAACTGATGAGCCACTGTGCTCTAGTATGGACTTTGCATTGTGAAAGTGTGGGGTCAAAGTTTTAGGTTTCAGAGACTCTTAGTCCATGATATCAATATCTAGTTCTATGTAGAAACAATAATAATTTAGAAACATTTTTTAAATGTAAAAGTATATTCAATACTAAGGTAAAGGTTTATAGCCCTGATTTCTGTGGTTTTCATTTTTTACAAACCCATGTTCTTGTAAAATGTAATTAAGCAATTATTGACTTCATTAGCAAAGAATAAAAAAATGTTTTACCAGTGATTAAAGATCTCCCTAAAACCCAGAGGTCTGGTGCTCTCTGCTACATAGAGCCCAGTGCTTTATGGTAGTATTAACTGAGGAAAGTCAAACTATCATTCTGTCTTCAGCAGTATATTTTTATTCCCCAGCTTGGCACAGCTATTGGATTTTTACTACCACCAGTCCTGGTACCAAACACAGTGGAGGATAAAAATCTCATGGGCCACAATATCAGCATCATGTTTTATGGGACAGCTGCAGTTTCAACCCTGCTGTTTATTTTAACAGTTTTTGGTAAGTAAATCACATGCTTTTTTCCCATTGAAAGAAGAACTTTAAAAAATGTCTACCTAAAACCGCATAGGCATGGTCAAAAAGTACATAAGAACGGTCACAGATGAGAGGTCATTCATTGAGCCTGGCTCAACTGTTACTTCTGTACTAAAAATGTACAAAAATTCTTATCCTCTATGGACAACATTGTAAAAAGTGTGCAAGGTACAGTACTCACTTTTGGTCGGAGATCTGTTGAAAGCTTCAAATTCTATGCCTGTGGTTGTCTTGCAGGGTTTTGTGATTGATTATTATGTCTTGGATAATCAGTCTGCTTTCTGGTCTTAGCAAGTACTGTATAGTTTAGAACTCTAGTAATGCTGTGCGACAAAAATAGTAACATTTAATTTAGATACATCTTGTTTCACTATGAAATTTTGCAGGATTGCATACAAATTTTCACAAAACAAGTGTTTAATATTGCAGAATTGTGTGCATGGGGATTAAGCCTAAAAACTGCCCTAACTGTGATTTGTTTATAGTTAATTACCAAATTCACATTACTTAATTACTTAGCCTTGTATAAAATTGATGGATTTGAATATGAAGATGCTATATATTCCTTCTGATAGTAATAATTAGGTATCTTTGGGCAAATCACTCATGCTACTCTTTCACAGTGAAGTACTATGTAACAACCTTTTGAAATTGTCATATGCGCCCACTCTGGTGTGTAGATTGCACAGGCTTTAAGGTTCTCACATTCATGCATAAGGGACAGAATGGCTTAGCTTCAGGTTATCGCGAGGGCTTATTGTATAAGTACTGTATAGTCAAACACATAATCCGAGATCTGCTGATTTAAGTCTCCTTACTCTATTGAAGACAAGAATACTCACAGTGGGCGACAGAGCCTACTCTTGTACAACACCACATATGTAGAACTTATTTGCCCAAATTCTACAGTGATTCAACATCTTCCACGGTGAAACAGTAGTTGAAATTCAGTGTTTTTGCTGCTGTTGCCTGGATTAGATTTCCTTTTAGGAGATTTCAGTTTGACTTTGCTTAAAGACTTTGTATTCACTATATTTTTAAGTATGCAATTAGTTTTAAATTAGTATTAGTATCATCCCCTTGTAGGACGACGGCCTGAAATAAGTATTGTGGTGTCACACAGCAGAGGTTAACTCAGAGTCAAGAGAACTGATTCTTTCTAGCAGCACAGCAGTCAAAACAGACAGGACATGTCTTGTCCAGCCTATCGCACATCTGCCCATTCCAAAATCCCACGTATTTTGTAACTAACAAGAAAATGTACATGAAAATAAAATAAGCCTTCATTATTACGCGCAGAAGCTGTAACAGCAGAGGAATTATTCCTTTATAAAAAGGCTCTTATATGTGATCACAAGGGTGATGATATTGGAAATACCAGTGCAGTGAATCACTATGTCTGTGAAGCAGCATTTCACATTTCCTGCAAATCCTTATCTTATTTTTGATTTTATAGTAATTAAAGATAAGCCTCCACTCCCGCCCAGTCAGGCTCAGGCTGTGCTGCCCGACAGTCCTCCTGAAGATTACTCCTACAAGCAGTCTATTGTCAACCTGTTCAAGAACTGTCCCTTTCTGCTCCTGCTTGTCAGCTATGGTGAGTGTTTCCAGTTAATGTCTTAGCTTTAAACTCTTCAACATAAATGTAGCCTTTTCTTTATTACAGGGCTTGGAAAAAGATGTTCCCCGACCGAGATTAACTAGAAATAAATAACCCCAGCTGTAAAAATCTGTATAGTCATTTGTAAAGCTTTTCTGTGGCTCTAGAGTATGTACACATTGCATATCGTTTGCTTTGCCTTTGTTTCACATTGATTCACCAAACCCCTTTCTGCTTCAGTCTGCTTCACAGCAATTGCACTCTTCTTCACCAAACTTTAGCATGTAGTGCTCTTTTGCCTGGTTTCTTGATAATTATTTTTGCACTGCTTTCTTCTTGTCCTGTTATAAATGAAATGCATTTCAATTTTGAAAGGAATGGTTTTCCTGTCTTTTGTAAGGTTAAGACCAACCTTTGATTTCTTTCAGATAACAGAGCATTTCTTAATGGTTGCATCTGTCATTTGGCAACCTGGTTTTAATGTTCCTTTTTCTCACAGCTTTTGAAATATTAACTTGGGGTTGAAGTAACATGAAAGGAATATGAGATTCACATGGTCTGCTTTGTAGACCTCTATTACCTGTTTTCTTAAGTTCTTCACAGTCATTTGCTATTAATCAGGTTGATGCATATATTGCATCCACCTAACAGTATATTTTATTTTGGTCACATTATTAGAACTTATGAGACCTTTTGATGATCACGATCTTTTCTTTATTTTCACATGTTTCGACAAATTACTTCTTTTGGAATAAAGTAAATTAAGGTTGAAACATTTGGGCAGTAGAACAAACGTAACTTGTGTGCCCTTAACAGTCAGCATTATGTAGGAGCACGTTTTCAGATTATATCTTAAATGAGGTTACAAAAATGAAAATAACATAACTAATTTTTTGTCTTAGGTATAATGACAGGCTCTTTTTATTCAGTTTCAACACTCCTGAATCAGATGATCATTGCACACTATGAGGTATGTGTGACTCTGTCTGCTGAAATGCTAATTTCCACTTTTATTTGGAACTATTGGAAGCAGTCATGCTTTTCATATCTTTAGCTTTGTACATTTTGTAACATTTGTTTTTTGGTTTTGTAAGATTCATGAAAATGTTTTCCAGTCATCTTAAATCTTTTTTACAGTACTATTCTATTCCTTTCGCATTACACAAGGAAATATTTTGATCGTGAGAACTATCGGGTGGTGTTTGGAAATATTTGAACATGAATATTTTTCAAGTAGGGAGCTGCGTCAGCATGTGTAGGCTAATGTACAAGTAAAGATTTATTCCGTGCTGACAAGAGAAGATATGAAACACAACATTTCAGCTGTGGAGCCTTTTTTTGGAGTCACACCCAAATGGCAATCCACAGATGAAACGTCTTTCTTTTCTTCTCTTTTCAGCATGGAATAAACCTTTACTTGTTCCTGAATATTTATCATATATATTGCATGCACTTCCAAACACTTTTTCAGTCACTCCTAGGGATATTATGTTTATGTTCAGCACCATGTGGTTACTGTAGAGTCTTCAAAGTTTATGGCCAATACTCAAACCAAGGCAAGTTCAGAAGAAACTGAAATGAACTGTTAGAAAAACATGTTGAGAGTTTACGCATAGAGTTACTGAGCTAAAGACAAGCACATTTGCTAACAGTCTGAGGGATGCTCATTCCTAGTCCAGACTGTCAAACACTTTTAAAACATGGTGAATTGTGCAGAGTTTCCCCACTATGATCGTCTGTAATCTCTCAACATAAAATGACAACTGATCATTCTGTCTTTTCTTGCTGTTAATCGTCTGCATGATGTGGCATGAGAAACCTTTCCAATCAGTGGGATTGAATGAGGAGACCTAATTATTATGGTTTTATGTTTACTTTTTGAAATGCAGAAGCCCTGCAATTATAAGTTTTGTATTGGCCACAGTTTCACTAATGCTTTTCTAAGCACATTAACGTGGCATGAGCTCAAAGGCATGCTGTAAGAATGGCTTCTAACTAGGGTGTTGACACCTGCTTATTTATACTAATATGACCACTCCACTTAGGGCGCAGAAGTGAAAGCTGGACAGATTGGGTTAACCCTGGTAGTTGCTGGAATGGTGGGCTCTATCATCTGTGGGCTGTGGCTGGATTACTCTAAAACTTACAAGTATGTACCATTTTACTCATTTGTTAACAAACAGGATGTGAGGACAATACAGACTACCTTATTTTTCAGATTTCTCTATGAAAGGCATCCCAAATCCACAAGGAGTTATGATTTGGAATAGTTTCATAGAGTGGATTTTGAGAGTTCATGGACTGTCTTACAGTAAGTCATTAATAAGTAGTGCTACAAAAGATAGGAGATGAAATGGGTAGCATGTTTTAGTCAAGTGTCAGGTACAATTCCAGCATACCTTTACAAAAACAGGGCATTTATGTCTTACAAAATCTGTTATGGATATAAATTACAGAGGCTCAATTTAGTTGTAATGAGCCTTTAATACCTGATCTGTAAGTCTCTCAGGAATTTGGTTTGAACAGGAGGTTTATTGTTCTGGAACTAACAAGATCATGTACTGCTTCAACTTTGAAATGAGATTAATAGACTTATTGCCCACACACAATTGCACTGTGCTCATTTTTAACTTTTTCAAAGTTTCGCACATTTCAATGTTTTGCACGTTCTTTGTGTGATGTAACGTCTGAAATCCATAATCAGGGTGCAGGAGTATAGAACATACTCACCAGTCATGTTATTGAAGCTGGTTTCATCATTAATTGTACCTGGCACTTTGCTAAAAAAAGCTACCCAACATTTCAGCTGTGGAGCCTTCTTTGGGTGTCACAGTTGGTTTCCTTTTTTTCTCTTTTCAGCATGGAATAAACCTATTACTTGTTCCTTTGAAGCCTACACATGCTGATACAGCTACCCACCTGAACTAATGCTGTATTATGTCTGTTTTTCAGACAGACCACCTTAATAGTTTATATCCTGTCCTTCATCTGCATGTTGGTGTTTACCTTCACTCTGGACCTGGGCTACCTGATCGCGGTCTTCATCACAGCTGGAGTCCTTGGGTAAGGCTGTCTGTGACTCGGGCATTTTCTTCAGTGATGAACAAGTGAATACCTTGGACTGTTGCTGTTGGTTCAGCTATTTTACTGGGGCTAGTTCAGCGACAGAAGGTAGAAAGAGTACGTAAAAGTGTGAGAAAACGAACTCGTGCGCGGTCATTTTGAATAGAACAGACTCCAAAAGGGATTTCTTTTCCAAGATCTCAAGGGGAGAATTGTGGAATAGTCATTAGAGCTCTGAGCAGAGGTTCAAGTCCCCAACACGGAGTCTGGGGTTACGTCTTTGAGCAAGACGCTAGTGTCTTCTGAAGATATAACTTGCAATGGATCAGTAGTCAAAACACGAGGAGCATCATACTAAGTTTTCAGAAAAGTAGATGGATAGATACTTAATTGATCTCATGAGAGAAATTGCAGTGCAACAGCAGCTTAACACAGCACAGTGTAACGAAATGATACAATAATACAACAATACAAAACAATCAGTACATTCAGTGAGAAGTGCACTAAGAAAAGTTACTCACAGTCCAGCATATACAAAGAACAAACCAGAACAGTACACAAACATTTGTATGGCACATTATAAATATAAATATATTGCATTCAATAATGAATGTTAATAATGTATCTTGCCTTATGATCCATGTGGGTCTGTGAATGGTACATCTGGGGTTACACATCTGGACAGGAAGTTAAGCGATCAGTTTTGGGATACCAGATTTACAAGTAAGGTGAGACAGGACAGTGCATCATCAGAAACACACTGCTTCGTCCTATCCAATGTACGTGCGAATTGCTACCCTATTCCAGCCAGCCATCTTCTAACCACTCTATGGCACAAGGGAGCTGGAGCCTATCCCAGCAAGTCACAGGCACATGGCAGAATGCATCCTGGAAACCAGTCCATCGCAGGGCACACACAGACACAAACACACACACATAGTCACCAAGGCCAATTTTCACAACAAGGGGAGGACATACAAACTCCACGCAGGTAGCACCCCTGGTCCATAATTGAATCCAGGACCTCAACACTGCAAGGCTGTGCTGTTTTATACTCTAATTCACATTAATTAAAGTAATAAATTAGCTTAGAAATAGTGACATATTAAAAATGTTGCCTCAGCATTAGTTGTCTGTAACACTGATGCAGGTTGGGGAACAGATTTATTGTTTACATGAATTTATTTTCTTCCACGTGAGAGGTGTTAGGTCTTGCGATTTTAAAAGAAAACTTTTTCTGGCACATTTACATTTTTTTTTTTGTTTTTACAAATATTTTTACTTTGTTTACCTACACAGTTTGTAATCGCCAAGTTTTTGTTTTTAACGCAACATTTTTGCTACGACCCATGTACTGCACGAAGATAAGGAGGGACTGCAGACGCACTCCTGCCTGGGGGAAGCATTCATGATTTGCAACCTGTGTGTTGTTATTATGTTATTATGCTATAAAGGCTTCACAATTCTGTAATGAAATGTGGAATGAACAGAATAGCAGGTATCCCATAGGGAATAACAACCATTACTGACTGCTATGGCTTCTTTAATACATAGGTTTTTCATGACTGGCTACCTGCCCTTGGGGTTTGAGTTTGGTGTGGAAATTACATATCCAGAATCAGAAGGAACTTCCTCTGGTCTCCTCAATGCTTTTGCGCAGGTAAATCTGTCAAACTTTTACACTTACAAACAGAGCAGTAAGCTGCAGAATAAACCCTACCTGCAGATGTGTAATTTTTCTGCTGTAAATTTAAAACTTGCCTGATTTATTGGTAAGTCGATTGGCGTAACTTTTAATAGCAGGGCAGTCACAGCCTTCTGGTCACTACGTAGAACCAAATGAACACTGAGGCCTAATTGTATGGACAAATGTATTGTAAATTAAACTAATCCAATTTTAGAAATACTCTTTTTAAATTCTTTTTCTCAAACATTAACGGCACATTAAATGAATCTGTAGTTTTTCCCAGAATGCATTACTGAATGCATGTGACTTTCTGTATTAGACCCCAAAAAATAAGATTTCATATTGGTACTGTACCATTGGTACTGTAGGTAGTATTGGTACTGTAGGTAGTACTGAAAATCTAAATTTTCTAATTTCAAAATTTTAAATTTACTATTAGAAATTGCATTACCTTAAAAATCAACAATGCACAACATGCTAGTGACTCTCAAAACGATTTCACTCTATTGATCTTATTGTATGTTGTTTAGGAAAGGTTATTTTCTTTAAAAACTTGCATTTGTCAAGCATTATCCCTTCACTGACACTAATGATGTGTTGTGCATTTAAATAATAAAACCTAATCAGTCTGAATCATGACTTGCTAGAAAACGGAAAAGTGTACACGAGGGACTACCAAGAGTATTTAGAGTGATACTTACATTCCACTATTCAAAGGCTGTGTCTTAGCCAATGTTTTATTCTTAGTCTTATTCTTTCACACATGTTGTCACTGCTACATCATCTTGTCATTCCAGATATTTGGGATCATTTTCACACTTATACAGGGGAAGCTCACCACAGATTACAGTCCCCTCATTGGGAATATATTCCTCTGTGCCTGGATCTTCATAGGCATGATTTTAACAGGTTGGTGGCCTTGTTGTGATCTTACTATGAGGGAATCTCACAGACTGTATTTCAGTCCTCCGTATCCTAATGCCCGCTGACATGTCTATTCATTACATTCATTCATGACATGACATTACTTTCAAAATGTGTTGGAACAAACCAGATAAATGATACAATTATTAATAATATAAAATATATAGAATATACAATTATTAGTGTATGATAACCAAAATGCATTGATGGGGATTTCACAATCCACTATTCTAATTTTCAGTTTTGTATTACTGTTCACTATTAATGAATGTTTTTGGTGTTTGAATTTAACTAAAATTGCAATGTTTTTTAAATGTTTTGAAGAAGCAAGAATATAAATCAAAAGGAGTTTGTATGAATGGGAACTAATTATTCACATTGCAGTTTGGGGAGCGGAAAAATGCTGCATTTCTTTCTGTTGCGCATGTTTTGAGCGGTGCCTGAAATCATCTGCATAACCACGAAGATATCTTCCTTCACCACTGACTCCTCGATGCTTAATTGGAATGAGACGGAGAACAGGATTCTGAGAATATTTGCTTTCTTGACACAATTTGCTTTTAGCAGTTCTTCATACTGATGTGATTAAGCTTTTAATTAATTCCTTTCTTTTCCAGCCTTAATAAAATCTGAACTGAAACGGCACAACGTCAATATAGGAATTGGCAACAAATCTCTTCAAAGTGTAAGTCATGTGACATCTCTCCTTAGTCATCACAACCAATGTGAGCTATCAACCAAAAAAGTTTTTTAGTACTACTTTTTTGGTGTATCACAGCTCATTTAACTTCCATGCAATTTATACGGTAGAATACAATTCTGTACCTTGTATTGCATCTCTATAAGATAAGAGATAAGATCACTTTATTGCCCAAATACAATATCTTGTATAAGGAATTTGTCTTTTCACATACCCCAACTTGCTCTCCATGAGACACAGACAGGGAGAGAAGCTTGGGGTCAGAGTGCAGGGTCAGCCATTTATACGGCAGCCCTGGAGCAGTTGGGTTTACAGGCACTGGGGCCAAACGGAGGAGGATTCCTCTGCCAGCCATGGGATATGAACCTGTAACCTTTCAGCCACAGGTGCAGATCCTTAGACACAGAGCCACCTCACCGCTGTATATACAGTACAGTTTATATCCATATGTATTCTAATTTGAAGATAAACAAAAAATTGGGTGGCATTACATGTTATTGCTTAGAACTGCATAAAGTTAGCTGAATTCGCAGAGAGGTCTGGCAGTCAAATGTGTTCACGTCATTATTGATCATTTATACAGAATAATATGTCGTCCAATTAAAGAGTGGCATTTCTTGGTTACCTTTCAGACCATAAATGTTACATATAAATAAATAAATTGATGTTTAGATCATTCACACTCTTTCATTGTTAAGAGGTCCAGTGAAAGAGATAGAACTGCAGGTGGTTTTCAGACATTGTTCTGGAAGTAGAGCTGGGTATTTTAATTGGGGAAACAAAGAGATGGCAGTGCATTCACGTGAAATATCAGGGCATATTTTTTCATTAGGAAATGAAAGATTTCTGCCTTTAATGTCCTCTGCTTATTTTCCTGAAGGTTCCAACTGAGTGCCCTTGTGACCAATCAGCTAATGGCATCATGGTAAATTCTTCACCGGACATCTCTCGTGAGACCTCCCTCTGAATCCCAGGAGACACAGCAAGCGGTGCCATAGGAAAGTGGATCAGATCTGACTTACTAAAAAACTTGCCTGAGGTTACTTGAAGTTCTTTTTAAAAATGTTAATTTATATTACTGTACTGTTTCTTTGAGAATAAACATTGTGTCTAAAATTATTTTGGGCAACGGAGGAGACGATTTGCACTGCCTCTTGGGAAATTGATTCTTGGTTTAGTTAGGTCTAAAGTCCTGTCTTTTTATTATTTGCTTGTTTGTTGCAGTCTGTTTAAGAGAGATGCGTTTATTTAATGTTAAGCTGCTGATGAGTACTTGTCACTGTTAAGGACTGACAGGTGTCTTGATGAGAGGGGTGATGAAGAGAACCAGACATAGAAAGTTTCCTGAGAAGAAAGAGTGATAATATTCAAACAGGAGTATTTTAGAGAATCAGAGATGTCTGCTAATTTTATTGATCTGTAACAGTTAAAAAAGTACAAATAGGGCTTCTTTTTTCCAGTGTTATGAACTGTCCCTTTGAAATTATTGATTTGGTTTATTAATTAAACCACAAAAATTTGGTAAACTCTGGTAAAGTTAGTTGCTCTTAAGTTAAGTTTTAATTGAACTGCTAATTGTTGGAATGCAGGTAACATGCTGTTGATCACTCAATCCAATTGACTTTAGATTTCATTCCTTCAGGAGCCTAATATATCCTACAGGTTGTTTGCTGCAGGAGCGGCACAGTGGAATGTTGGATTGCACTACCGTCTCATAGCTCTTGGGTCCTGGGTTTGATATCAGCCTGGGGCATGCTCTGTGTGGAGCTCATATGTTCTCCTATTAGCTATGTGTGATTTCTACCACTGCTACAGTATGTCTCCCAGAGACACGTTGATTGGATTAACGGATGGTCCTGTGTGTTTTTCCTGCTGTGGATGTAGATTCCACAAGTGGAAACTGCATGGAAGTGCATTTAAAATTGAGAGCAGGAGACACCTCTGTGTGCAAAGGGTTGTGGTAGTACAGAACATGCTACCAGCCTTGTTGTTGCCAAACAACATTGTATTTCTTCAAGAAGGAACTGAATGAGTTTCTTGGCCTCACTTGATACTAGCTTCCAAGTGGGCTTGATGACCTCTTTTCATGTGTAACTGAGAACTGGAACTCCCCTGGAGTCCCATCCATTATCATGCCTTGCACAAACTGTTTACAGGGTGAGGCTCAGGCTCACCATAACCCTATATTGGACTAAAACGGTATTGAAAAAGGGTTTATATTAGCTGACATTTTCCGTATTACTAATACAGAATGTTGTTTTATTATGTCTACAACAGAAAGTATTTGTTATTGAATCTATTAGATTTTGTTAATTTAAGCACTTTTTGAACAGGGGACCATCTCACAAACTTAATTTCATGACAGAACAACAGGGTATGTGTTCTCCATCTGAATATCACAAATACCACCTTTAAAAGTTTAATGATTTGCTGGAACTAAGCATTGAAAACCTTTTCTCTTAATTAAGATGGAGAGAAAATTTAAAAAACACTGATTGTTGTTTAAAGTGATATACAGTACATGGTTGAAACATAGATTCCAAAAACTAGAAGCACTAAGTACAGCATATTCCTTGTGCTCTATAAAGACTTAATCATAAATTAATTGGAACTAAAATTAAATATATATATATTTACATTACCTTTCACTGTGATAACCTAAAGAGTTTTCACCTTAACAATTTGCACCTGTTCCAAAGTCAACCTTAGTTCTGTTGCCCTTTACAAAATGCATTGTTAGTCAAAACAACAGTGTGGGGTATTAACTAGGGATCTGGACTTATAACTAAAAAGTCTGGGAGTCCAGTGTACTTGTGTGCCCTGGAGAAAGGTTCTGTATCTGTTGCTCCAGTAATATTATTTGCTATATAAATGGGTACATAGAATTTATTTTGTATAAAATTGTTGGCCAGATAACTTAATAATGGTAGTTCTGGGTTTAAGATTTTTTTTCTATATGGTACCTCATGTGAGGATGACATTTGTTCAAATTATAAAGGAATGGAGAAGGATTTTATTTTATCTATGAAGTTTTTGTCATTTTTAAAATCATTGTATAAAAATGAAATCAGTTTTATCCCTTCACGAATTTCCATCCTCCGTGTTCTACCCACTCAGTGAGGGTAAGGGTCACACTGGTAACAGGCTAAGCAGGGCAGACCAGACTTCCCTTTCCCCTGTAACAGTTTCCAGCTCATCCTGGGGGACTCCCAGTGGGCTGTGCCTGGTACACCTCCAGCAGGGGGGCCTGGGGGGTATTCTTCACCAGATGTCTGAACCATCTCATCTCCTCTTTTCGATCCGGAGGAACAATGATTCTATTCCTACATCCTCTCGGATTGCCGAGTGCTTCACCCCGTCACAGAGAATAAGCCCAGCAGCCCCACGGAGAAAACTCATTTCTGCTGCTTGTGCCCACAATTTCATTTTTTCAGTCACTACCCAAAGCTCATGATAGACGAAGATGGGAATCTAGATCAACAGGAAAACAGAGCTTCATCCGAAAATTGAGTTCCGACTTCACCACCATGGTCAGGACAGCATTTGCATTAACAAGACCCTGAGGTACTTAAACTCCATCACCTGGGGCAGCAGTTCCCCTCTCGCCTGAAGAGAGCAGGTTCTCTTTTCCAGGAGAGAGCCATGACCTCGGATTTAGGGGTGCCAACCTTCATCCCGACCATGTCACATTTGTCTCGGACATCTCCATTGCACTACGGAGATCACAGTCAGACAAGACAAAGAGGGTAACATAATTGGAAAACAGCGGAGATGCAACCCTCAGTTTCCCAGACTGGATACACTCCAAATCTTGGCCGAGCTTTCATATTCTGTCTATGGAACTCATGAACAGGACAGGAGCCTTTGGTGGAGTCTGACACTCACCTTGAGCGCCAAGAATGCAGACACACCCTTCGCTCCACAAATACAGAGACTGGACTGGTCTCAATGTCCCCATTATCCCCTGGGATAGAGGAGATGCTGTTCTGGACTTGGGAGTTGAACTCAATCCGCCCAGAGGCATCTGACAGGCAATCCCAGGACACCCTCACTTCCTGTTTGAGAGTCCCAGATCTGTCCAGCTGACAGCCTGTCCAGTTGACAGCTCTGCCCCTCTGTTTACCTATGTTTTCCAGAACATATGTCATTGATCTCTGAGCTATGACCCAATGTGCTCAGGTACCAAGTACACTTCTAAACACCATGTGTTGAAGCATAGTGTTCATTATGGACAGTCCATGACTATCACAGTCCGGTAACAATTCACTGCTCAGGTTTGGATCACGGAGGCTGTTCCTCCCAATCACTCCCATCTGGCTCTCTCCATCATTCCCCACGTGAGAGTTGAAATCTCCCAGCAGGACTACCCCTCCTGGGATCGTGACCTTGACGTGGTGGAGGGGTTTGAGTGCCCCCGGGAGCCTTAGAGCTATGTTGTTGGGAGCTTTGCATTCCTGGTAGGGTTACCCTTGGCAAACTGGTCTAAGGTGAGGGGCCAGACAAAGAACGATCCATAGACTCCGGTAATGGATCCATTAAGAACTGAGAGAACCAGATCAGAGACACCGGAATCCACTCCTGGAGTCAGGCCTGAGGGTTGTTTTCGGTGGCGAGCGCCTGGTGGCCAGGCCATCCACAGAACCTGGACGCGCTGAGGTTGACATGGCCACATGGAGCCATTGTATGGGCTCACCACCCTCAAGACAAAGGATGGGAGTCGTGTGACAGACATGAGCAAGACAGATCTGGATGGACAAGACCTTGGCAGTGGAAACTGGCTCTTGAGACTTGGAGCAGGTGTGAGAGGTTAAAAAGCACAGACTAGATACAGTAAATAAGTCAGTCAGTAGATAAGTCAGTCTTACTTTAACGCACAGTGTGGATTCTGGAACCAGGCTTCCCAAATTTGTAGTCCCTTCAGCAATCTTCTAAATAAATTAGTCATTCATGGAAAGGGAAAGGATTGTACCTTTGTTCTTACTTTCCTTTATTCTTTAACATTTGCCTGACTGTTCAGCACAGTGGCACATCGCTTAGCACTGCTGCCTCGCAGCTCTGTGGTCCTGGGTTCGATTACGCACCTGGCATGCTATCTGCGTGGACTTTGCATGGAGTGGACTGCATGGAGTCTCCCCGTGTTCACCTGGATTTCTTCCAGGTGCTCTAGTTTCCTCTCACAATCCATGGCAAAATGTGCTGTAGTGTGAGTGTGTGAGTGTCTGTGTCTGCCCTGTGATGGACTGTCATGCTTTCCAGGGTGTACGCTGCCTTGAACCCATTGCCTGCCGAGATAGGCTCCGGCTCCCCCGTGACCCTACATAGAAAACGGAAAGATGGATTTGTATGGTTTAGAGGTCAACACTCAAATTTCCCGCTGCTAATAAAATGCTTAATGTACTTTTTGTGTCCAGGATTTATTTGTGTGAAAGACAAAGGACAGTTTGCAACTGCAAAAGAAGAGCTCATGTGTTTTCAATACCTAATCCTTGAAAGCGATTTTGTAAGAAAGTCTGTTCAGTGTAAACATATGACAATGCAATTCCCCAGTAACACACCTGTGTCTGTGCTGACCATGCTGCCCTTTATAGAAAAATGTCTAAACTTCATGTCTAAACATCTTTGCTACAGTTAGCATTAAAGGAGCTTAATGGTGTCTTTTTATCTAATGCACAGCATTTTTAACTATTGTCAGCAGACAGACTACAATGCAGACAAATACTTCAACTTCTACATTTTGTTAAATTAGGATTGGACTATGCATAGGTGAGGTGAATAATAATGTAACATTGTATCTGATACTGCTGTGCAAAAGTCTTGAGCATTTTGTATTATAATGCCAATTTCACTCAGGGCCATGTATTCAAAATGTAGGTGCTTAAATTGATATGAATTACTGATTTGCCTTATTTTGGCAGAATCACATTTCATGGATATTTTCTACTAAAAGTGTATGCATTTTGTTTGGAGCCAACAGTTAATCCTGGGAGTATAGCACTTTGTAGTATACAATAACCATTAATAATTTATGTTAATAATGAAAACCACTTGACATTAGTCATTTAGATTTCATTGTCAGATGGAGCGCATTAACTACTGCAGCACTTCACATTGGCTCTTAAATTGAAGATCGCTGACAAGCTTGGTTTTGTCTCACTGAAACTATGCTGTGTTTGTAACAGTCAAATGCGTTATAAAAGTAGGAACTTGTATGATACTCTTACAAATTGTATGTACATTACAAATATTGTAGGTCCTGATTGAGTCTTCTAGGACTTTTGCACAGCAGTGTATATGCTGTAAAAATAGGTCATAGTGGCCTAATAATATTTTGTTGCTTTGCCTTTTAATTTCTAGTAGATGTTTACCATTGGATAGAAAAAATACTGTAACTACAGTAATTTTAATCCAGGACGGTCTTTGATATTGTATTAAAATGTTGTGTGACAGTCTTCCATATGTGCTTTACAATTCCTTTGATTCCAAGTCAGGAAATTTCAGGTAGTGAGTGGGTCAAAGTTTTGATTTAGCCATCACATTTTGCAAAACTTCCCTCTAAACAGGTGGCTTGTGAGGACAGAGCACATTGGAATCACAACAAACAACAATGATATTGTGCACTTAGACTGAATTTAGCAGAATCTTCTGTTCCCAAGAAACAGAGACTTGCTCTGTGCCAGCTGCCCCGTCTGTGCCTTTATATACAAGTAGTCTAAATTAACCCCATTTAAAATTGTAGCACTTAGCCCAATTACCTAATGAATCAATCAAACTTTATGTAAACCTACAAACATACAATTGAGGCTTCAATAATCTCTAGTGACCTCAATCAGTAACTCGGGGCAGGGATTCTGGGGGGGATCATTGTGTGGTACAGAGCAGAGCTCAGTCAGTCCATACAGCCCCTGAAGAGAGGAGAGTCATGTGTTGGGCTCAAAATCAATAGAGATGTCCCTCTGCACAGAATATGAGGTTTTTCTGTGTGCGGTCTACATTCCGTTGGCAGAATCACCTACAGTGAGGGAATTCTCCACAGTCCGCATCTGTCATGCCCAGTGCCAGGGAAATGTGCTGCTCTGCGGTAACCTCAGGGCACAAACAGGCATGCTGCCAGACTGTAGGAAACGCATATATTTGGACATTCCACTCTGTACCTCTCACCAATCACTTTACACAAGGTGCAGCCAACACAGTGAAATCATCAAGACTGGGCTTGAGCTCTGTCAAAGGCTGAGTCTGTACATCATCACTACCTGGACCAGTGGGGACTCTTTGAGAAGTTTCACTTCCCAAAGTGTGGTAGACAATGTTGTCACTGACCTGGACTCCTCCTTTATTAGTGTCTTATCTGTCAGGACACAAACTCCTCTCTCTGAACACAGATCACACTGTACATCAGGAGAACACGCCAGCAAAAAGACATACTGACACAGCCCAACAGTTTGGTAGGAGGCTGATCTGAATTTTACGCTGTATACTGCACTCAGTAAGGATCAGATTTGCACCATACACACTCTTACAAACAAACGTCCACCCAAAAAACACATTTGCCTGCCTTATTGATTTAAAAAAAACAGTCTGCAGTGCCTGGCCTCACGCTACAGACTGCTGCACACAGGCCTACACGACACACAGATCATGTTCCTGCTCTACCCTGATGACCCGGTCCTGCTGTTGCCCTCATAACAGAACAGGGGCAGCAGCAGAGCCTGGCACTGCTGGAGTAGTCCAGTCAAGCCTGGGCTCTGACAGGCAAACGTGGACAAAACCGGAATCATTGTTTTCCAGAAGAAAGTTGGATCTCAGGGGAACAGGTTGTACTTCACATTGAACAACTCTATATTGGAACACACAATGAGGGAATTTTGACCTCAGAGTGAGGGCACTGAAGGAGAAGGTTGTAAATATTTGAAAGTATAATCCAACCCCTTACCCTATATGTCAGTGAAGTGTGAGGTCTAGCCACAAACCAGGATTACACTAAATGAGACAAACATCCCATATAAGCCCTGCACATAGAGTTCTTTAAAAAATTTGCCCCACGTGCAAAAAAAAAACACCAAACAATTCTTGCAGGTCCAAATTGGTTAAAAACCTATTGCGTACAGAAAAGAACAATTAAATATTGGTTATGCCTAAAGACATTAACCAAAACTCCTGTCACCACAAAGCCCTGCTGAGCCAAGACCTGAGCCCAGAGAAGAGCCCCCTCAGCCAGAAGCTCCTGAAGCTGACTGGCACCAACCAACCTCAGAAAAGAACATTTAAAACAACACAAATCAAAATAAAAAAACAAGCACAAACCAAATAAAACTTCCTTACCCACTAAGACACACACACAAGCACAACACAAACTGGAACACTAAAGGACCCTAAAAACAAAATACATATTAGCTATGTATCTGACTATCAAAGAGAAACAGAACCTAAGAAATAACAGGCTCAGTGACCACTGCCTGGCCATTGAAACAGGGCGACACAGGCAGACCTGGCAGCCCAGAGAGGACAGGCTGCACTCCCACTCCCAGCAGGATGAAACAGAGATTGAGAGGCACTCTTTACTACATTACGAGAAGCTCTGAAATCATTCTTTACTAAAATAAAAAATCTAATCCCAGAATTCACACACCCGCCACGGTCACAACAGCTTCCAATCCCACTGGGAGAGGGGGAGGAAACTCAATATGTAATCTCCTGTCTCTACCTGAAACACACTGAGTGAGCCCGTTTTTGTGATGTATGTAAATGTCCAATGAGATGTTTTCTATTATAAATGTCTGTACATATCATGTTGATTGTATATGCTTTGGCAAAACTCTAATGCATGGGTCAAGCCAATAAAGCTCTTTGAATTGAATGACGTCAACAGAAACTACTCTCCTCTCTGCAGCTGGCCTGTTCTAATTAAGATCTAATTATTTTAAAGTATTTTATACTTGCTGAACTTTACATTTAGGTACATTTATTTTGATTTTGTTTTTGTTTGTTACAAAAAGAAATATCCACTCTGTGAAGAAAGGACACCATCTGAAATAATCCTGTTTTGAGGCCTGTATCAGTGGCTGGACATTATGGTGGCTGCACTTATTTTGAGTAATGAGGTCAGTGCCGCTCCAAAGCTGACAGCCTACTTGAGTTGAGGGTCTGCAAGTGACATACAGTGTGAGACCTGGCATTACTGAATAAGACTGGTGCAGTCACTTGCTAACACAGTTTGAGCCAACAATAACATTTAAAACGAGGTGTTTTAATTCATGCTTGTCAACGACTTCAATGTATCCTACAACATAAAAGTGTAAAATACGTTTGATATGGGACTACACAAATGTATTAACTGAGTTCTGTAACAAAACAAAATGATATTTCTGGACATTTAATTGTTGATAATGACTGCTCATCAGGCACATTTCATTGAAATTTTCATTATGTTTACACTCTCCCCTCTTTACTCCAGTCACGGTTATTGTAAACCCAGCAGGGAAAATGCTGGGTTTAAAATGTACAGCTCAAAAGAAAGGCGTGTGTAGTTCTACACTGAAAATTATATTCACTATAATTTTCTATGCCCAACTGCTGTAATCCACAATTAGAACAGTTGTATTTTTATACTTCGAGCAATTCTGAGATTAGAAAAAGTAACCACCGCCTACTCCCACTGCTGCTGCTGGTACAACTAACGCTTCCGCGCTGGTATTATGAACTAAAATCTTTTGGACTATTTGGTCATGAATTTTGTTTCCCCAACACTGCCCTCTTGTGGTTATGTATTGAAACTACTGGTAGACATAAAGAGACTTAAATTACCTACAACACATTCAAACCAGAAAAAAAAACTAGTATATACATCATAGTGCTCTCAATAAACTAAAGTGGATCTAGAAAACAACACAATAAATCAAGGAATGATCCCTGAAAAGCTAATCAGATTAATTAGAACTAATTTCATATTATTGTTTTCTATGGTAATACAATTCAATTGAAGCTTTATTATCCCCTGGGGGAAAATAGTTCTGAGACAGCCCAGCACAACAATACAAAAACATGACCAACAGAGAATTCATGACAACAGAGTTTCAGGAGATAAGATAGTTAATGTTACATTGTTTGAGAGTGGGAATGAAAGATTTCCTCAATGTTACTGTTACACCTGGCGACATAGGCGTCTCCCAGATGGGAGTAGTGTAAATTCACAGTGGAGGTGGTGAGCCACACACTTCCTGTTTGTAGAGGGCATTTAGGTTAATCTAATTTGCCCCATTGACTTTGCTGCTCATCTTATAATTTTTCCCAGCCTAATATTTGCAGCAATTTGCAGCTTCTGGAGTCCCAGAGAAGGCTCCACAGCTGAAACGTTGTGTTTTTTTTTCTTCTCTTTTCAGCATGAAATAAACCTTTAATTGTTCCTTTTCAGCCTACGCATGCTACATACTTTTCAGCTACATACTTGAACTACATCTCTATATTCTTACTATTAAAGTAGGTTGTCAAGTTTTGTCTTAATATTCCCAACAGCAGCAAAATATGTATTTGAGAAAAATAAAACCTTAGTACCTCTACCTTCATATTATACCAAATTCTAAACATTTTGAAATACAGTTTTGTAATTTGAATTGTGTTTTATAATATGTAGAAATGTTTATATTACAGTGCTTCAGTAAGCAAGACAAATCTATCTATTATTAGTAATTCAGCCTAGCAGGAAAATGTGATGACCCTCCAAATTACATTTTTTTTATTCTTAAACTGTAGGCTTATTGTAAGACATTTTAATGGCTGTTTTATTATGAATATTCCATCCATTTTTCTAACTGCTTTTCCCAGTACACGGTCACGGAGGAGCCTGGAACCTGTCCCAGTGAGCTACAGGCACAAGGCATGATGCACCCTGGACAGTCCAGTCCATTGTATGAATGCTGTTTTTCAATAATAAGAAACTTTATAAATACTTAATTTGGCATTTTAACTGGAAAAAAAAGGAAAATGCAGCGATAATGCAGGAATTCAAAGGATTTAATTTTTTGTGCTGCAGGTCCAATTAGACAAAATTGACACCGCAGAACACTTCAGATGCAGTTTCTTTGTACTAAAATGAAAGTGTTGTTTCAAATCTGGGAGCAATTTGTGATTAACTGTCCTGGTTTGGGGAAGGGGAGGGGGGAGGGATCTTTGGAATGTGTAGTGCCCAGGACAGGAAAATATTACTTGGAAGCACAAAACTGCTACCAAGTGAATTGATATTATACATGTACTCTCTTCACATGATCTGCTCAAACAAGTCAAAAGGTCTGGATTTGAATGCAATACTTTTTCCAATAAAAATTGTGTAAAACGAGTGTACAATGTCCAAATATAGAATGTTTCACTGTTCACATTCAAAACGGAGGCCATCCATCATCTCTCCTGTGTGATGCAGTATTTTTCTCCTTGATGAGGTGAGAATCTTCACACTTGTCTGATCTACCCACTTTGCATCACTCCCAACAATACAGAAGGGCCAGAAACAAACACCTAATACACAAATAAGTAGAATCACAAGTTGAACTGATGAATCAGGGTGAAGTAAATTTAAGAAAAAAAACAGGTATGCAGCATCCCCCAGCACAATAATTAGCAGAGGTATTTTTTCCCCTAAAATGTTTTCTTATAAAAACTCTCTTGATCAGATATGTTCTACCCTGCTGAAGAAGTATTGTTGCAACAGAGATCTGGCTTAATATGAGGGAAACCACAGTTTCAGACATTTGGTGTGTGTGTTTGGCTGAGGAGTCAGTGGTGCAAAACTCCCGTCTGCAGTATTATGACTCAAAACTTCTAAGTAAGAAAAGCCCATAAAAGGTTTTTTTTTTAAATCTTACCAGCAAGTATAAATCTTACCTTCATCAGAGATCGTAACTTTCCAACCTGACTCACCCCAATGGGAATGACGCAAATGGAGACATGGAATAGTAACAAATGCAAAAGGCTACTTATATCACAGAGACAGATGTGTGCTACTCTTTGTTAATTATTTCACTGCTTTTGTACTGTTAATGAATTACTGACCTAACTAAAGTAAATAGTTTTGAAACCATCTCAGTAAACTATATAATAAATGTTTTATGCTTACTGAATGGTGTTACCAAGAGATCAGATCATATTCGTTGATTGTGCTTCGTAATGAGCTTATTTTATTCAGTACTTTTAAATATTACTTGTTCACTGAGACAGCTGAGCGAAAAAGAAAGACAAAAGAGCACTGTTGAACACAAGTATTTCAGTTAGTTGGTACAGGACTTTGGACAGCAAGAAACATTGAAACCAGTTTTGGAAATAATGTAGTGGAAGAAAAGAGGTTTAAGTCCTTCAATAAGACCACTGATGCTGTTTGTCTCTGCACACAATGAACAACACTTCCATCACTTGTGTGATAGCCCTGCACAATAAATGATATCTATTGAGGGATACCGACCCTTTGTGTGCTCCCTGTACTACTAATACATGAAAGCAAGGCATGCAATTAGACAAGAAAAGGAAAATATTATACAAAATCTCCAGACAACCCAAAGAAACTGCACAGGGAAAAACATAGTATTTGCATGAGATAACTAAAAAAGGAAATGAGTGAATCCTGTTAGAAGACTTTGAGTCAGTTTCGCAAGGGCAATAAAAGGGCTGTGAGGAAACCACATTGTTACATAAAATAAAAGAGGATCTGATGAGACGAGCACAAACTTTTAAGAAGACCTTCTACGGGATGACCACATTAATTCAAAACCTTTGCTGGAACAAACTAGATAAGGACATCTGAGAAAGGTATCCAATACAATCCAACACTGAGTTGCCAAAGAATGCTGCTGAAAACACATCCCTCAGTGTGTCAGGAGAGCTGAGGTCAAGGGATTAAGAAGAGCAGTGTATTCAAGTCTGGCTGTTAAGGCAAGCAAGCAACCACAGACAGCTGTTTCACCCTTGATTGGGCTCTTAAAGGTTTTTTTTAACTCTTAGCTGGTGAAATAGGTTTGAGGTAATTGTGAGAATCATATAGGAAGAAAGTGAAGCCGTTTACCATAAATACATATAAGTGGAGTCTAATCAACTTCCTTAATTTTTTATATAGAAGTGTATTTTCATATACAGCATATATTTCCTTAAACTTTCATTAGCACAGTTTTATCAGCAACTAGTTAAGGTCCCAATAATGGCACATGTTTACATTAACAAGAACATGCAAGAACACATTTTGCCATTGATTAAGGTATATTTTCAAATGCAAGCATTTGAAATTGACTAGATTTACTACCAACATATTTTAAAATACTTTAAAAAATGTGAACTACTGACATACACTATGCTGAAAATTCAATTTTGAATACATATATTTGTCAGTCCCTTAGAGGATTTTGCATACGGTACTTATGCATCAGATCCCCTTGTCGTTCTCTGTGCTGCAGAATAAGAATAAGACTGACAAAGCAATCATTCCCAGGCTTCAGCCGTCTGCCCTGCTGCTAAAACCAGTGTCACCCTGGCAGTATTGTGACAGCCTAACGATGGGTCAGTTCACACTTGGACGAAACGACGTGGTCCAAATAACAACCCTGAGTGCGAGACCCTAGCTCTTCCATCTCGAGCTCTTCCTGGATCATTTGGAAAAGCTGCTTAGAATGTTACCAGAAATTCCGGAAAATAACCCAATTGAAAGGAGCTAAACTACAGATTGAGTTAGTCTTCTTTATTCAACACAAAAGTCACCTATATGTAACTTCTTAAACTGGATATACAATTATACTACAATATTAATTAACGAAAACTACTATTTCTAAATATTATTTTAATTCGTCTGTTTAGAATTATCAGTTTAAAACACCGTTATCCAAAGCATCGAAACTTATCCCAACTTTAGAAACACGTTATGTAAAAAGAGACCGGCTAACATAATTATGTACAGTACAATAACTAAAATGTCACACAAAGTTATTAAAATAAGAGACTCTAAGGTTGTAACCCGCAAAAACAGAAGCGCGAATAATAACTTTAAAACAAAGGTTTTGATATAAAAGGGAGAAATCGCACCATCAAGATTAAGAACCTAGACATTAAAATAAAACTGCCAACTCAGAGGCGTGAGTAGGTTTTGGGCAAACGTTCAATATTGCCAACCTAACACATCTAACCGCTCAGAAGTGCTCTGCCTCCAAACGCTACTACTCACTCAACTGGTGTGTCCAAACCAGGCCAGGGTCCTGTTTCCCCGCCCCCTTCCGGGACAGCCTCCAATGACAACCCGAGATGTTTTCCTAATAAGGAATCTACACCTTTAAGTGGCAACATGTGCCGCCTCTCTTTGTTGCCGCAGCCAATAGGATACGAGGGAACGTTGTTGGCTGCCGGGTTACAATGAAACAGAATAACATTCACAGTTTTAACCATCTGATGGATTGGAACGCCAGATGAAAGGAGTTTTAACAATACGGTACAGTACAAAACAGCTACGAAGGAGACCCCGGAGGAAACGCAGGTGGGGAGAAAATCCAGCTTTGAAACGGAGTCGACAGCAGCAAAAGGATTTTTCTTTCCTCCGCAGGGAAGCAGCTGGTCGAGCGGACGGGTCTGAATTAGCTGGCAATTAAACTAGAGGGACTCCTGAAATCAAAACGTTATTGAACGAATCTCCTGTGATCCTTGCGTGTTCATGCAGCCCAGCTCTCTTGCCTGTACACGGTTCGGGCTCGGTTTGTATGCCGTTTGTAAAACGATTAAACACATCGTTTTATATCGTATTTTTGATTTCCCAAGTATAAAGTTTGTGGATGGATAAAAACGAAAATATTGATATTCCGGAACTCAATTATTCGTTTTTTATGTGGGATATATTTTGTACAAGGGAGTCAAGTGTTTAAGCAGGATTTTAGTTTTTCGTGTTTTAAAAAGCAAAGCGACGCATGTTACTTTTACATTGTTCATTTTTATTTATTTTTTCTCCATTTTGGAGTGTTTTAGTGTCGCTGCAAACGTGAAGTTCGTCGTGCCAAAGTTAAAAGTGGTTTTATGTACACGTAAGTGGTGGTATACAGTATATATATATATTTCAATGGAGAAATAGTATAAAAGTGGATTGTGATTTTAAAAGGATAAGCACGGCGTCGGCGAGAACGCCAGTAATTAGGGTGCAAAATGACTGGGTCGAGCTCAAACGGCACCTGCAAACCAGCAGCCCAACTCGCCAGGCACGGCCGCTCGAAAAGCACCAACTGCCGCAGCTCGGGTTCGGGTGCGGAGTCCGCCTCTTCCAGCGGTACCGCCAGCAACACGGGCAGGTCCTCTGGGGAGGAAGAGGAGAAAGACGGAGGGGTGCTCTTTTATGTGAACAGAACCGGCTTTCCCATCGAGGGTCTCACCTGGGAGAGGATGTGGACTCACGTGGCCAAAATTCACCCCGATGGAAAGGAGATGGTGGACAAAATTAGGAACGCTGCATATCTCCCCAAAGTAAGTGAAGGCTACAAGTTACTGCTTTTGTTACATCTCTGTGCATCGCGATAAGCTTCTCTTGCATGAAGTCACGGCGATTCTAGTCCTGTGGTGAAGTTTGATCGATGGGATTCACAGTTCATTTTTGAAACGTGCGATTCGAGTATGCGCTCCTAGACGTAAGTTTCCTTACTGTAAATACAACAAAACCTCCGAGTTCAATATCCTGAAACGACCTACTGGTATACCGCTTCCAGGTGAGAACGTTTTTAAAGATATTGTCCATGGGATCGCTCAGGGCAATTGGGAAGTTAATTTACAAAAGATGTAGCTCACTAACCGAAGTCACCCGAAAAAGGCGTTCTGGGACGGGGAACAAGGCAATGGTTACTATATTTGAACGTTTTTAAAACGTCCACCTTGTGTGTGTGTTTGTTTTGTGCAGGGGGGTTGTGGTATTTGTATCACTAACACTATGTATTAAATCTTGTTCAGGACGAGGGTTGAGCGGACTAGCTCGTAAACCTGCGATTATTGTCAACAAATGATTTCTCTTATGAATGATCACCACACTCTTAATCCCAAAAACCGTTTTGGGTTGAAAACCTTTTGGGGGCAAAAGAATAATTAAAAATCCCGTAAGGTATCTGAAAATTTCTCCTGGATTAACAACCTAATTGGGGGTTGCGGGGAAAAAAAACGGACGATGGTAGAGCCCTGAACAAGGTAGTTGAGTGTCGGTGGTTTATTATGACCTTCACTCCGCTATTATTGGAAAAAGACTATCTAAAATGTATCGTCTTTAATGTTATTCGGCGTTTTAGGGGGTCCGTAACTATGAGAATCTGCTGATCCCATCAAAGCAGTCTACAGTGTTTTTGGCTCTTTCCCTTACCGCGGTCCAGGCTTGAGAATGGATTCTCAAAGCCTCAGTGTGCCATTTACACGAATCTCCATTGCCGTCTACAACACCGCTGCGGCTCTTGAGTCTAGACACTGCCAGCGTGCTGCTATACACCGTGTGAAACTGCAGTCCTGTCAATGAAACTGCCTGTGCATTTGTCTCGGCGTCTTTACTCTGTGTCTTACGCTTCCCCCATACAGAGGATGAGCATTTATATGGTCTAAATATGCAGGGTAAGGTATGAATGATGGTGATTAGTTCAGGTGGAAGTACAAACCTATCCAAACAAGTGAGAGGATCCACATCCAGTCCCCTTAGGGCTGGTGCAAACCTGGTCCTTCCAGGTCTCTCTAAAGCACCGTAAGGACTGCCCTATTAAACCGTAATGAGCTGGTTAAACCTGTAGGCACCTCCAGGACAGGGACTGGGGATTCCTGATCTACATGACAGTTGAGAAAGGGCGGCACATATTTAAAAGGCTTGTGAGCAGCTGGGGCATTCAGTCTGTGTAGTTACCAAACATCAAGACTGAGAACAAGGTTTTGATCATTTTAGTAAGTAGATTTTCAATCTTGGGTGGCCACCTGTGCACCTTTGTAGGGATTTGACATGTTCATTTCCTATGGTCTCAAAACCTAAGTAAACTGAACAAATCATCTTAATTGGTCAAATCAAAATTGTTTCGTGGGTTTAGAAATGGAAGATTTAATGGTAAACCATAAACCCTGCTGGAATTTGACTCTCCAGAGCCAGGCTTGGCTGTCCTTGGGAGATAAATACAGTGTATAATCAGATTTAATCATGTGTTTGTTGCTCAAGAGCTCTAGAACAGTCCGGACTCTTTTCATTTCATTACAAGATGGACATACCTAGTACATACACATTGTCAGATTATGTAAATGAGGAGACTTTACATGGCTGATCATGAGTTTCAAGAATGCTTATTGTGTTTCACACAGGAATTTAGAACCTATTGAAATGTTTTGTGCCCCTAACCAAATAGCCAGAATACTGCAATATCACTGAAAGTGAATATATCCCTCTTGCATCCTTTTATTAACTTTTAAATATGAGCTTTAGTTTAGGTCCTGGCTTTTCTGCTCAGTGATGACACTGTAGGTTTGTAGAGCGCTTTTCTGTGTGAGCTGTTTAAATCCACGATTAAGCCTTACTGCTGTGATTTCACTCCTGGTCCCAGAGGAACTCGGTCAACCAGATTTTACAGGTAACTAATGTAGGGATACTGGATGTCGCAGCACAACTCACTGGTGGTTTGAAACAGGCTGGTTTGGTTGGCCACCCAGAGGGCAGAACATATGCACTGTCTACTCATTTTCAAGCACAGCTATGGTCAGTCTCTTCTGTTGCAATGAATGTCACTTTTAGGGCAAGGACACTGTACATTTACACACAGATTGTGAGAGGGCATGAATGATATAGATGCATCTTAAACACCAGCATGGAATGCATACAGGTCTTATTGAATAAATACCAGGAAATTGGTGATATGGCCCAATTAAACAGTTGATTCCGATCACATCATGAAGTATCCTGGAACTGAACAAAATCCAGTAGATACTACAGCCCCACAGGACTTGGAATGAATACCTGTGCCTTAACTTGTTAGTAATTCAAACACCTGCTTCTCCAGTGAAGATTAATTTACTGCTTTGTGGACTAAGTCTTTCTAATTCCCTACAACATTTTCATGAAGATACATAAGGCCTTCCACTCTGAGATCTTTTGTTTTATTTGACATTACTAGTGGCGTTTGGGAAGAGCACAGTAACTTGACATTAGGAGTCAGATAATTTAAGTCATAATCTGGTTTAAACACATTAGATCAAGTTGAACAATGAGGATAAACAAATTACTGTTGTGGGCTTCATCTTAAAAGAGTGTTGTCTAATTTTTATTTAATCATTAGTGTTTTATTATTTTGTTAAGCACGTTTCTTAGGGGGGGGGGAAACCACCTTTATGCATGTCTGTAAAAGAATGTTTCTTCTTAAATCCTAAATAAAGTTTGTGTTTTTGTGTGGTTGTAGAGGATTAAATGTTTTGCATCAGCATGTGCTTATTTAACCCAGTTTAACAAACATTTCTTACAGTCAGCTATGTCTTTATACATTTTTTTTCAAATGGAAATTTCGCAGCCAGGAAAAAATAGGTCAGTGCACTTTGATCATTTTGTTTTAAAATCCCAGTTGAGATCTTTCATTGTTTTGGAAAATCAGTGGCAACAGACTGCAGCAGCAAACTTAAAGTAAGGTTCTGGCCTTTCTAAGGAATGTAATGAGTTTGTATTTATGGGTCTGTGAGCTAGAGGTTTCAAGGATTGAACATATTAAGATTATTGAAGAAGCTTAAGACGGATGAAAAGAGAGTGTAATGAATTGTGAGAAATGGAATTCCCACAAGTATGGTGGTGCAGTAGTTATTTCTCACAGAGCTGGGGCCCTGGTTTCAATTACTGGGGTGCTGTTTGTATGTCTCCCTGTGCTCTTGTGGGATTCCTATGGGTACTCCGGTTTCCCCACAGTCCAAAGACACTGGTAGCTTAATTGCCCCTGGTATGAATGTCCGTGTCGGTGTGTGCCCTGTGATGGACTGGGGGCTCATGCCGAGTGTAACCTGCCACGTTCCAGTTGCATGCTGGGATAGGCTGTACCCTATCGCCCTATGACCATGTATCGGATAAAGCAATTAGAAAATGGATGTTATTCTAACTTCTATTAGTTAACAATGTTACTTCTGTGCAGGAAAGATGGAAATGTACAACGTAGTTACTATTTTTATAATTTTTTATGCTCTGTCTAGGTTTGTTTTTTTTGTTCTTGAATATCAGAATCTGTCTTTTGCAACAGTGCTGTGAGGAGGAAAATTAGTCTTGTCCTGGAGCCAGTTGGTTGAGTTGGAGGCAAAGCAGTGGGTGTAACACTCTGTACCTCCCAGTCACTGGCCTTTATCATCAGCCTTAAAGGCAAACTGCAGTCCCAATTTCTCAGACTGGTTCTTAAATCTTGGTAACAAATTAATTGATGTTATAGAAAAAGAAATACAAGTTTTGAATTAAGCACAATTGTGAACTTTGTGAAAGCACTGTAAGTCACCATGTTAACGCAACTCTCGAAATCAAAGGCAATATTTCAATTGATTTAAAAGATGTATTCACAAGCCTACTTGTTTATAATGTCGCACACATCAATGGAAGTTTTGTTGCCTAGTTCTGAATCGCAGAACTTGGCGCCGCACGTACCTGGAAATTCCATCAATTTTGTGATGTAGTTTGGAGGTTTTACAAGTTACTGTGTACATTTTACTGTTATTGTAGTCTGAAATGTACTCATTTGGGTCGTGTGTGTGTGCAATATGACCGCGTCATGATACTGTGTTTAAGACGTGCTGGCATGAATGCATCAGGAACACGAGTGCTGGGGTCTTCATGAATGACAGAGTCACAGGTGTATCGAGAATGGGCCACCACCCAAATAACATCCGGCCCGGTGGTTCAAAACAGACCGTTGATAAAAGGGGCTGATGGGACTGACACAGCCTGTGCAGAGTACCAGATGGGCTACAGTCAGTCAACCAACAGCTAAATACTACAGTGGAGCCAATGTACAACTTGTAGTACTTTGTCACAGATGTTGTATGTCAGCTGATAACCTGACAAGGTTCTGCTTCTCGGGGAAAAACGAAAGGTACAGTTGCAGTGGGATAAGGAGCACAAACACTGGACACTCAATGACTGAAAAAACATTATCTGGTCTGATGATGTTCCTGCTGTTTTCACTGATCAGAAGACTAGGATCCATCTTGCTGAGGGTCAACAATGCAGGCTGATAGTGGCAGTGTGATAATGTGTGTTGTGCTTTTGTGGCACATATTGGGTCCCTTGATATGAGTAGAGCAACATTTGAGTGCCACAGGATGTCTGAACATCACTGCTAATCAGGTGCATCCCTTCATGGCAGCAGTGTGCCCATCTGTGCAGGGGCTTTTTCAGCCAGATTAGCTACATGCCACAAGGCTAGGAAAACCCTGGAATGGTTCCAGTAACGTGACCGTAAATTCAGCTTAATGAAGTGGCCTCCCCAGTCACAGGATCTGTG